AAGCTTTGTTTCCTGCAGGAGAGAAGTGTTTGTGTTGGGGATGAGGGTCAAGGCGCTGCGTCCCGGGCCGGTGCAGGTCTGAGAAGGAGTTCGGGGCAGGGGGATGATCCCCAACTGTATCCCCCGGGAGCGAGGGAAAGGCGGATCCAAGCGAGTTGGTGATTAGGAGACAGTACCTCCTGAAGGGATGTCAGCGAGCAGGATCGGAGACCCTACCCGCGAACAGAGCCCGGGGGGAGGGGGAAGTCAGGCGCCCTAAACCCTGGGGGAGGCCTGGGAGGTGGTCCTTTCCGGGGGTGGCCCACGTTCCCTACTCGGAATTCGGGCGGAGTGAGGGGCGAAGCGTTGGCAGGCCTCAAGCCCTGGGGAGGGGGCACGGGTGCTCCCGTACTCACCGGGACTCGGCCTGGCGCAGCCTTCTCGGGGGAACTCCCGTCCGGCCGCGCCCGCCGCCCGGCCCCGCCCCTGGCCCTCTCCGGCCAGCGCGGGCCGCCTTCCCTCCCTCCCTTCCTCCGCCTCCCTTCTCCCCCTTGCCCTTCTAGCCTAGCACTGTCTAAACTCTATAGTGTTCAGCGCCGCGCCGGCCGCTCTAGCCACTCTGGCAGTTAGTCGTTGGTTTCCGGCTCCACTGTCTGTCGTTCCTGGAGACACGCTCTGCACGTGGAGAGACGCGTGGACCCCGCGACTTCGCCCTCCCCACCCGCATGTTCGAGGAGCCAGAGTGGGCCGCGGAGGCCACAGAAGCCGCGGGCCTCGGGCCTGTAGCCTCACGGCCTCGGCCCGCAGCCACCTCGCAAATCAAGGTGAGTGGCCCCGCAGGGGTACCGAGAGCTTTCTGGCCACGAAGCTGACAGCCTCTGTTGGTTCCCAGCGCTCGGGCAAGGCCGTGTGTCTGGCGGGGATAGGGGGGCGCCTGCGGCCGAGGGAAGATCTGGGAGCTTCCAAAGGAAAATGATGTTGGAACTTAAGAGTTGGTGAGTAGAAGTTAGTAAAGTGAAGAGGGTTTCTTAGGGAAAGCACGTGCAAAGGCCCTGGGGCCAGAGATATGTTCTGTCAGGGTCACATTCATATGAAATAATCCGTGTGGTTGGAGCACCGAGAATGGGAGGGGTTGCCATTTAAGTGGGCGAGGTAGATTTGAAGTTTTACATATTTGAAGGATAGAAAGAAGGCTTTTTAGTGGAGTGATTTCTTCAGATTTGCATTTTCAAAGGTCATTGGTTTCTGTGTGGATAGAGCTAGAGTGAATGACAGTGAAGGGCTGTCACTACTACCATTCAAAAGGAGGTGGAATGGAGGCAGTACTGAGAATCTCCAAGTTCAGTCCCTGAGCTAGGGTTACCCAGAGGACAACACAGAAGGCCTCCCAGACAACAGATCCTCTCCTCTAAGCCTTTGCAGATATGTACATCTGCTGTACTTCCTTAAACTTTTCCTTTCTTTCAGTCACCTTCCAACATGGAATGTTTGCTTTATCCCCTCAACCCATTGCTCTAATCCAGGCACTGGCCTCTGTCTGCAGCTAGTCCCCTTCGGTTTGTTCTGTACACTGCAGCTGGAGTGTTTAAATACAGACGTGTGATCTTGTCACTCTTTGTTCTCAGAAACCTCTGTGCCTCTTGCAGAAAGATGTCAGCTGGAGTAAAGAACTGGAGGTTGGGAGTTGGAGCTCCTGATCTCAGCCTTGGCCATGTTGTTTGTGGCCTTACCTTCCTCTGGGGACTCCCATCAAGTGGGGTGGGTGCTTTCTATGTCCTCCAGCCTCCCATAGGTCGGGATGGCAACTTGAAGGTTCGTTAGAGTCTGGCAGTCTTCATGACAATCTAGTTAAAGCTGACTGGGAGTATTCCATATGCCTCTGCCAGCGTCTGAATCAGGTCCCAATCTTCCTTCTAATTCTCCACGCCCCAAACATTCTCCTCGCCCCAGCGCTCACATCTTGTTTTCTCCCAGGGCTCCAAGCGCCGCCAGCTCTTGGCTACTTTACGGGCCCTGGAGGCAGCATCTCTTCCCCAGCAACCCCCCAGCCTGCCAGGCAGTGACTCTGAGGAGGAGGAGGAGGTGGTGAAAAGGAAGAAAAAACGCCCGAAAAAGGCCTCATCTGCTAGTGTTTCTACTGAAGTAGAGGTGATAAGGAAGAAGAAATGTCAAAAACAGGGCCCACATGGCAGGGACTCTGAGGAAAGGGAAGAAGAAAGCGAGAATTGCTGGAAAGGGGATCTTGTTGGCAGTGAGTCAGTTGCAGAAGAGAAAAGAAAGAGGAAATGGCAGCAACAGGCCTCTTCAAAACCTGCCCAGCACCCAGGCAGTGTTGACTACAAAGGTACCATTGGATGTGTGTGTGGCAGGGGCTGGGGGTGGGGGGCTTGGGAGGGGCACCAGCTGATCCTGCATCAGGCAGAAGTTACCTGCCACCATTAGGTTTGGGGCTAGGCAATGAGAAGTACCTCCACTGAGGCCAGTCTATCTCAAGGACAGGGGTACAGCCAGAGTGAATTGTCAAGGCTCTGAATTCAGGGGATCTTGCCCCAAATATGCCTTCCCATCTGCCTCCCTGCAGGTCCCAAAGCTTCAAAGAGTAGTCCTATAAATGACCCACCCAAGCCAAACCCTGAGACCACTTCCCATAACCCGTCTCATACCCTGAGTCGAAAGCAGTGGCGGAACCGGCAGAAGAATAAACGGAGACACAAGAACAAGTTTCGGCCGCCTCAGCCTCCAGACCAGGCTCCAGCCGCAGCCCCCATAGAGGAGACAGAGATGCCTCCTGCCCCCAGTCCAGACAGCCTTGAGGCTCGGGCAGGGGCTCTGCGAGCCCGCATGGCACAGCGGCTAGATGGCGCCCGCTTTCGCTACCTCAATGAACAGCTGTATTCAGGGCCCAGCAGTGCTGCACAACTCCTCTTCCAGGAAGACCCTGAGGCCTTTCTCCTCTACCACCGTGGCTTCCAGAGCCAAGTCAAGAAGTGGCCACTGCAGCCTGTGGACCGCATCGCCAGGGATCTCCGCCAACGGTGAGTGGCTGGTGGGCACTCTGAGAAGCCACATGGGTCAGTCATGGGCTCAAACTAGACCAGTGAGTGATCTCTCCCCTCCACCCCCAGGCCCGCATCCTTGGTGGTAGCTGACTTTGGCTGCGGGGACTGCCGCTTGGCTTCAAGTATCCGGAACCCTGTGCACTGTTTTGACTTGGCCTCCCTGGACCCCAGGGTCACTGTATGTGACATGGCCCAGGTAAAGCCCTCTATCCCTCTCTGAATCTGGCCTGTGCTCTTGGCCCAACCTCCACTGCTAATCTCAACACCCCGGCCCCATCCTAGTGTCCAGCCCTGGCACTCAGTGCTGTCTTTCTCCTCTCTCTATTGTGGGCTTCATACAACACTCCCATTTCCCACAGGTGCCTCTGGAGGATGAGTCTGTGGATGTGGCTGTGTTCTGCCTTTCACTGATGGGAACCAACATCAGGGACTTCCTACAGGAGGCAAATCGTGTGCTGAAGCCAGGGTAGGAGCCCCTAGGACATAGATGCGTGTATATGTGCATGTGTTTGTGGCTGTGCATTTACACAGAGCTTTGTGTCCTTCTCAGGGGTCTCCTGAAAGTAGCTGAAGTCAGCAGCCGCTTTGAAGATGTACGGACTTTTCTGGGGGCTGTGATCAAACTGGGTTTCAAGGTCATCTGCAAGGTGAGGGCCTGCATTTTTGTCTCATGTGGCCCTTTCAGGGTAATGGTATTCAAGAAGGAGGCCATAGGCACTGACAGACATTTGCTTCTTAAAGGCACGACTTATGGGAAGCTTTCTGAGCAGGGGTGAGACAGATGGAGGGGTTTTGAGGAGTCAGAATGAGGATTTGGAACTTACTCGGTCTTTTTTGCCCCTAGGACCTGACCAACAGCCACTTCTTCTTGTTTGACTTTCAAAAGACTGGCCCCCCTCAAGTAGGGCCCAAGGCTCAGCTCTCAGGCCTAAATCTTCAGCCATGTCTCTACAAGCGCAGGTGACCTCGAAAGAGGAGGCAAGTTTCAAATTCCAGGCTCAGAACTCTGAGGACTGTCTCCAGCCAGGCTGTGATGCAAGACCTGGTACCCCTCTCCCTCTGTCCCAGGAACAAAGAGTGATGAAACCCCTGACTTAACCCTGCTCTGATGAAGCCTTCTTGGTTGCAAGAAGCAAATAGTCACTTGGGTTAGCTAAGAATAAGCAGTTTATTATGAGAACACAGGTGTCTGGCAATTACTGCTTCCCTAGAAGTCATGGGAGTTCAAGACCTCTCTGGGTTTGGCTCCTCTTTCCATATCTCTGGCCCAGCATCTCCACTCTTTTCTCTTGATGTGTCTGCAGACCAACTCCACCTGCTCACCCTTAGCTTCTCTTTCAGTTTCAGTCTACTCAGGCCTTCAAGGCCTCAGACAGGCAGGTATTCCTTCTTGGCTCAGGGACAACCAATATCCTGACTGAACACATGAATCTGGCCTTCTGGGTCAAGACTATTTGATTGTCCCTGTTGTTTCCCTTCTGTCCTCATCTCCATTTGTGGAGCCATGTGGCCCAAATGATTCCCAGCACCTATTGTCTTGTGGGGCCCTGGTGTGTGTGTGAGTGAGAACACAGATTTGGGAATCAGTGTAATCTCTAAATGTCACATCCCTCTTTGGGAACGTGGTAGGATTCCAGTCTCACATGATTGTTGTGTGGGTTCATTGAGGAAACCTTGTAGCCAAGGCTGGGTACATAAGAGGTGCTCAATAAAGTGTAGCTATGACTATTATGTGTTATAAATCTTATGTTCCCTAAGGACCTTCCCTAGATTGGGTTGGTGATTTGAAAGGCAAACAGTGGATTTGTTGCCCGAGGGAGACTGGGAGAGCTCAAGATAGGCCTTTCGGCAGCCACATTTCATAGGATATTTAGAGATTCTTAACATATTCTGAGATGTCTTTGGAGAAAGTTGTGAGGAATCCAGATCTCTGCATAAATAACAACTGGTCAATGCCACGTTGGGGGGGATTGGGCTGTTCACTGGCAAAAGGGTCTGTCCATTTCTCCTTCACAGGGGGCCCAGATCAGCACATCCTAGGAAAGCTATGGGCAAGGAAAGCTCATGCTGGGACAAGATGTACTGGAATGAGTTCCTTGGCCTCTCCCAGAAGGCATCTGCTATGGGCTCACACATAAACATATAGACTCTTGTGTCTATTTCCAAGAACAAGAACTGAGAATAACCACCGGAGTACAGGTTCCAGGGCTGTGAGCCAGTTGGATGCTTCCAGGTGAGAGGATGGAGGTTTTGAGGCAGGCTGTCAGTCAGAGGCCAAGTGTGAAGGCTAGGCCATGAACCCTTCAGTAGGTGTCACACAATGCCTCTGCATGTGCTATGTAGTCTGCTGACTACTCATTTGACTCACAAAGTCCTACTAAGCCTTCCAAACAGTCTGCTGGTTTCCTACTTCCCCACTCGCGAAGCAGAATTAATTCTTCATCTGCACCCCGAAAGTGTTATGTGAAGAGTGCAATGTCAGCTCAAATACTGCATTGTGAGTGCTTTGTTCATTAGGCTGCAATCTTCTTGTTACATTTATCTCGGTATTTCTAGAGCTTAGTCTCTTGAGATTCACCTAAGGAGGTGCTAAGGAATGACAGGGTCCAGTTGAGTGGGACTGAGAGCAGGGGTGTTCAGGAATGCAGGTTCAGGGACAAGATGAGGGCACTGTGGACTAGTGAAGGTTGCAGATGGGAGAACTTCAGTAGGTAGGACTTGGGGAATGTTGAGTGTTGGTGAGAGAAAGGAATCTCAAGTAAGTTTCTAGTTTCTGGCTTGAGAAACTGGTTGGGCTGGTGATGCCATTCAGAAAGTTGAGTTTTAGGTGTCTGTTAGATGTTCATTTGGAGGGGGACATAAAAGTCTCAGGAGAGATCTGTGCTAGGGATTTGGGAATCACAGCCTAGAGGTGGTAATGAAAGTCATAGATATCAATAAGATATCCATAGTAAGATAATGAGAAGAGACACTGGCTCAGAATAGAAGTGAGGAGCATTTATTAGGTGGGTTAAGGAAAATGAACCAGTAAAAGTGACAAGATGAGGCATGGCCATAGATGGAAGAGTAAAACCAGGAAATTAGATATTTTAATGTGAAAGGATTAGGGAGTTGTCAGCTCTCAAATGCTGCTGAATGGTTTGTTAAAATGAGAGAAGTCAGAGGCCTGGCAGGAGGCCATCAGGGCAGGTTACCCCGGGCGAGGGACAGGGCTGATCCCCGTTGACCTGCAGCCGTCACTCTGCTGACTATCTCTGCCGGCTTCTGCGTCTGCTCACTGAAGAAGCTGAACAGGCAAGAGGAATCTTTTCTCTTGGGTGCATAGGTCCCCATTGGCAGAGACTTTGAGTCCTAGTCGCCACAGCCATCTGCTGCGAGGATTGAGACCAGAGTATTCCTTTAGGAATGAGTTGTACAACTGAGAAGGCACTTGCTGATGCTAAAGCTCTTGTTGAGATATTGAGAGATCACGATGATGCCGCAGAGTCTCTCATCGAGCAAACCACAGCTCTCAACAAGCAAGTAGAAGCAATGAAGCAGTATCAGGAAGAAATTCAAGAACTTAATGAAGTTGCAAGACATCGGCCACGGTCCACGTTAGTCATGGGAATCCAGCAAGAAAACAGACAAATCAGAGAACTGCAACAAGAGAACAAAGAGTTATGTACCTCCCTGGAAGAACATCAGTCTGCCTTGGAACTTATAATGAGCAAGTATGGAGAGCAAATGTTTAGATTGCTAATGGCTAGCAAAAAAGATGATCCGGAGATAATAATGAAGTTAAAAGAGCAGCACTCCAAGGAATTACAGGCACATGTTGACCAGATAACAGAAATGGCAGCAGTAATGAGGAAAGCCATTAAAATTGATGAGCAACAGGGTTGTGAAGAACAGGAACGAATACTTCAACTTGAACAAGAAAACAAGGGCTTGAGAGAGATCCTTCAGATTACTTGAGAATCATTTTTGAACCTTAGGAAAGATGATGTGTCCAAAAGTTCATCTTTGTCAGCTTTAGTGACCAACAGTGACCTGAGTCTGAGGAAGAGCTAAAGAGCTTCTCGGTCTCAGAGCTTCTTACAAGGCTCCAGACTTTGGTCACTGGGACTGGCCTACTGCAGTGACTGAGTGAATGGGAAAATCAGTCTCAAGCTACCTTTTGTTTTATTTTTTTTCTATAATATATACAGTGCACTGGCAATGTCATTTTTAAGAGAGAGCAACAAAAAAAAATGAATGGTTAATGGTCAATAAACTTTATTCCATGATAAAATTGAAAAGTAGAAACTCAGCCTTTGTTAAATGGTAAAGATTCCCATGGTGACTGCTGAGCATATCAAGAGGTTTCAGCAGTGCTTCGGCCTTCTGGATGCCGGTGGGATCAACAAGGATATTCCCATAAATGTTTGAGAATTCATAAAATGATCCAGTTGGTCACGGTTTTGTGAATGGAGAATTGTCATACTGTTGTCCTCCCTGTTTTGTGTCTAAGTTAGCAAATAGCTTATATACCATGAGACTTCAGTTTTTAATGATTGTCTGTCTACCTCCCCATTAATTTTTAATTTTTTTCCAAGAAAATTCAGTTCGAAAGGCTGCAGGAATGTTGACATGAACCATAAACAATGGAAGAAATTTAATTTTAGCTAATTTACTATAATTAATACTCACTAACAATTGTCAACAACTTGCTTAAGGATATATGAAATACCATTTCAGGAATGAAGGAGAAGGAATACTACTTTCTAAGAAAGAAGATCTTATAAGAGACTTATTAGTAGGTTAAACTACTCCTTTGAAAGAATAAGTTTGGGTCTAAATCAACAATAAAGATGAAATTTTTCTCTTCTCTGGTTGATCTTTAAGGATATTATCTAGCTCATTTAGCTAGCGAAGGTGAAACGTTGATAGAGCAAGCTAGGTATGGTAACCTCAAAGTAAATTGGGAATTCTTCTGCCTCGTAGAACCCTTTTTAAAAAGTAAATACTCTTAAATTAAAAAATTTTTTTTGATCTTTTCTTAAGCTCCATCCAGTCCATATAACCTGTAAGATTTTTCTTATAATCCTTCAGTTAATGGGGATAAAAATCTGTGGGTTTAGAAGTATTTGTTTTGTTTTTTACAGAAAATGTATTTAGTATATAAATTTTTTAAAACAAATCTTAAGTTTGGGTAAATGGGGTTGATTGAATAGGAAAAGGGCAAACAGCCCAGTCATTAAATAGATTTCTTTTCTCATTCAGAGGCCTTAATTGATATTTTTTAAATAAATGATATTTTTTATTTTTAAACTTTTCTATTGGGTTTTGGGAAAGTATCCCTTAATTGATGGCACATTCAATCATACAGTGTTTATCCCAAGTCAGAATTAAAGAAACTACACAGTTAAAACTAAGTCTGAGGTAATCCATTGAGGCAGCTCTATTATAAAAAATCACTTCATAAATAATTATTTTTATAAAAATTAAGTTGAGTTAATTTATGCTTGGTTGTCTTACATGGGTATAATTTTAAGATTCTGGTGTTTAAAGACATTTACTTTGTTATATACTTAAGTTTTCCATCCTATACTTTTTTTTTTGTATCAGAACCTTAGATTTGTGTCTGAGAATATCTACTGCATAAGAACCTATTTTATCAATAAAGATGAGTGATTAAAAAAAAATGAGCGAAGTCAAATTGCAGTGGGATGAGGATTGTTAAGGGCCTGTTTGATTTTATATGGTATTATTCATGAATTTGTAGTTAATACCAGTCAGCCCAGTGGTTGGTGTGGCTCTCTCTGCCTACTCAGGAATCTAGGTGTAGCTGTGGAAAATGAGTTCTCAGGGATCATCCAGAGCTGGAACCTTGCCATGCAATTAAAGTGAAAGTGAGCAAAGGAGTTTCAGACCATTTCTAAGTATGTGGTTGCTAGGCTGAATTATGGAGCTTCATAGAGGTAGTAGAGAGAAGACGGGAGCAGGTTGTTGCACAAGCAGTAATTGAATGATTGCTGGGGAATGAGAGGCTGTGGTCAGAAATTGGCATGCTTGAATTCTTAATACAGGAAGCAGAATAGCTCTAGGGGATGGCAAAGCCTAGAGTGTAGCTCCAGGGGTGAGCGCCAGAGGTGCATGCAAGGGAGGCTGCCTATAGATTGGTCAGTGGATTGAGGGTTCAGGTGTTACGGGGAGAGGTTGTCTGCATGGACTTTGAAGTTCTTCAGGATGATGGTAAAAATTGGTAGGAATGGGTACCACCCCCCTGAGGGAGGGAATGGATCCAGGAGATCTACAGACAAGGGAAGAAGAGGTTAGATGGCTTGAATTTCAGAAGTGCACAGGGTTCACACAGCCTAGGGACTGGGGAAACTTCCATTCTGGGGGTGATGTGAGGCTCGTAAGTAGAGCTGGCTGCCAGGCAGCCAAGAGAAAATACCCAGACAGTCCTCTTCAGCTTGTCAGGATTCACTGGGGGTTACTGGGGAGATGACTACTGTGGCAGGTTCATGGGGCAGGAGCCTCCTGGGATAACAAAGGCAAGCCACAAATTCCAAGGGAAGTGTTGGAGTAGCATAGCACCTCACTATAGGACACATATCACCTTTTATAGTTCCTTGTCTGTGTTCTTTCCCAAATGTTATTTAGATTCCTAGATCTCGATTAATTTTTTCATTTTCTTATCATACTCAGCAGGACAGCTGGGGTCTGCCCTCCTCCCTCTTTTGCTTTCCTCCCTTATTTATAGTATGGATTCTTTCTTTGCCTGTTCTGGCTCCAGCCACCTAAGTAAATATTTCTCTGGGTCTGACTCAGGCCTCAGCTTCCCCAAACTCAGTGGCTCCGTCAGCTTCAGGACAAGCTCTTGTTCAAGTGATGCCTGGACTTTAGTGTCTAATGTTGAGAGTGTAGACTGAAGAGGGAACGATGTATATTCCCTTAAGAAATAACAGCATGAACCATAATGTTGTTCAAGTAATTGTACATTAATGATATCAAAATTTAAAAAAAAGAACAGCATGACAGCTGCTTAAGGAATAACTTGAGAACAGATTGGAGAAACGGCAAGAGTAGTAAGAGGTAAGTGGGAGTCGGGGAGAGTGGGAGTTGCTCGACTGTGAAAGCCTCCTCATGTTAGAATTACCTGAAGGCATGTTAGAATGCAGATTACTAAACCCTTCCCCGGTTTCTGATTCAGAAAATTAGAGTAGGGTTTGAGAAGTTCTTCCCTGGTTGCTTTGATTTTTCTCAGTGAAGCAGGAAGCAGACTTAAGGGTTGACGGTGAGAATAGGGGGAAAGTGTTTGGAATTTTGAGACAAGGAGAATGAGCATCATTTAAAGAGAGTGAAAGAGGGAATGAATGAATAAGGGATATTAGTGTGCTTGCTGGTAGTATAATAGCACATTTAAGGTTCAAGGTCAGAAAGCGGACAGGGGGGTAAGAGACCAGGCAAGGCTGCCTTGTGGAGAGCTTATTACTGTGAAACAGACTACAGCTGGGCTGTCAAACCCACCTCTCCTTTGTGGGGGCTGGTTTCTGCCGTCTCCCTCCAGTCTAACTGGGGATCCAGTGGGACCATTTGGGAGACTTGAAGTATTTATTCCTGCAGCCAAGAAATGCTGAGCCTGGAAGCTGACTCCTGCCCTGGAAATGAAGCGGGCAAGCAGAGGCTCATGGTTCTGGTGGCGGCCCCAGGGGAGTGCTACTGCTCTGTGCTGGCCTGGCCTGCATCCCCAGCTGTGCAGGAGTGTGCCCTGTGCACCTTTTGGAAGAGGGAAGCATGGGGTGGTCTTGGGTCATGTCCCACAGGACTGTTTGAAGAGGCAAGGAGAGCTCAGCCCAAAGAAGCTAGAAGCATACCACATGGGCTGAGGAGGGAGTTTCCGGAGGCCACCCTGAATAAAGCACACCCAGAGTCAAGGAAGCTGCAGAAAGGGACAGTAGGGATGCCCCCCTGCAGGGCCTGTGAGGCACAGAACTGCCCAGCCAAGCAAGAACTGTCCCATCCCCTTACTTCTCTGCAGTTAGGCCCCTGGCCCCCCTCAGCTGTGAGGGGGAGACAGCAGAGCAGGCAATCATTCTGCCTCCCCGCTGCAGGCCACTTGACTTAACTAGAGGCAGAACTGGGAGGGGAAATAGTGAAAGCTGTGGTGGTACAGATTACTGATAAATAGAACTAGACATTCTAATTACTCATGATTATGTCTGTACCTTAAACTGATCATAAGACTATGAACTAAGAATGAGCTGAAGTCACAGGCTTGCTACAGCTTTTCTCCACGGCAGGGCAAGAGTACCACCAAAAGAAAAAAGTGTGGGGAGGTGGTGAGGACCAAGAATAAGATTGGGTTTGGATAGCAGCCTGGGCCTCGCAATTGCTGAGCATCCCTTCGCGAGGTTATTGCCTCTGCACTCGTCGGTGTGCTTCAGCTTTTGTTCCTGTGACGCAGCCCTAAGGGGACACAGGTCCCAAAGAAACAACACCATCTTGACAGAGACACAGCTCAGCTCCAGACACTCAGCCATTTATGTAATTGCACAAAGCCCTTTCACAGCTTTTCACAGACACCTGTAATTAGAGGTTTTTATCCCCAGGTTGTCCTCTTTCCCAGGTGTCTTCTCATACTGGCCACCTGGTTCTGGGATTTTCAACTACTTGCAGTAACCACCTTCTGGGCTAATTGCTTCCCCTCCTGTCCCCAAAGGCGATTTATTTTTCCTGCAGCCAAGTGATCTTTTTAAAATGTAAATCAGATAGGTCCCTTCTCCGCTTAAAATCCTTCAGAGAATTCTCACTGCTCTGAGAACAAAAAACAGACTTCTTCACAGGCCCTGTGTGCTCTTGCCAGGTCTCCCTCCAACTGCATCTTAACCCACTCCTTCCTCGAGAAGCTCTAGCCACACAGCTTTCCTTTCATTCCTCAAGTAGCCCAAGCCATTGCTACTTCTGGGTCTTTTTACCTGCTGCTCCATCTCCCTAGAATACTCTTCCCTGATGAGCCTATTTTCATCTTCCAGATCTTTACACTAACACCTTTTTTTCTGTGGAAGAAACTTTCTAGATGCTCACCAAAATGTCCTTTTCCTGGACACACAGTTAAACTACATCTGCCACCTCCTTGCAGCAAGGCAGGCCGTTAGTGGTCCTCACCAGCGGGAAGTGGGTGGAGGCGATGACTCACCACCAGACCAAGCAGTTATGTGTAGATGTGCCATCTCCCTATTCTCCCACCCACTCATGCCCTCCAGGGTGACCTTGAAGCACATATTTTGAAAATGATGGAGTCAAAGCATCAAAGAAGTCTAGACCCCTGAGTGACTGCTTAAAGGAAAGCTGCTTGACCAAGAACATCCACACTGGACTTTGAACAAGTAATAAACCTCTATTGCATTAAGGTAGCAAGCTTTGGAAATAGCAGTTAGCATTATATACTCTGACTAATATGTCTTCTCTGGGCCTCCTGTCCACATTACTCTTGATCACAAAACCCCTTTTATTTCCTTGAGGGTGCGTCAAGCATTTCATTATCTTAGCAGATGTCAGTCAACACTTGCTACCTGTCCCATGACTTTGAAGCTTAATTGAGGGAAAAATGCTCACATGAGGAAGTTGAGATACTCATTTTATCAGTTACATTTTTTTTTTTTCCTGGACACAAAGAGGGATATTTTATAATGATGACAAGGTTAGTCTGTTAGGATGATACAGCAATTATAAATATACATACATCAGTGACAGAGCTCAACATACATTAACCAAAAACACAGAATTAAAGGGAGTTATGGACAACTGAACTGTAAGAGTGGGTGATTTCAATAACCCATTTTCAATATGGTTAAAACAACGAGGAAGAAGATCGTCAAGGGAACAGAAGGCTTGGCCGGTCCTGTAAACCAGCTCGGCCTAACGGCCACGTGCAACATACAGTTACTTTTACCCTGCCGACAGTTTCTGCCTCCGGTTGGGCACACACATCACTGCCTGTGCTGTTGTGCCTGGTTAGTTGGCCACCTTCCTGTGTGTGGTCTGGGGTCTCATCCACTCCGGAAACTTTTTTACTGCCTTCCTATCTTCTTTTGGGCTGAGAATCATTTTCATGAGTCTGCTCCTGCCCCTTTGTTCTCCTATTAGTGACAGCACTCTTTGTTTATTTTTCATGGCCGCTTTGGGGTTTATTCCACAAGTTGATCGACCACGTCCACCCCAAGTGATCCACAACCCTCCCTGGGCAGCATAAAAACCGTGGTGTGCGCTCAATCCTCCCCTCCTGGCCTCCGTGCTGTCAGTCCCTTTATTCAGGCATGTTGTAAACCCTGCACTAAAATGTTCTTTTTGTTTAGCCAATGGTCTTTAAAGAGATTTAAATAATAAAAAAAAATCATTGTTTGTGTACCGTGAAGTCCCCGTTACCATCATATCTTCACCTGGTGTCCCAGTCTGCTTGCCAGGACTGCCTTCATCTCCTTGAGCTGAGGGTCCACTGGTGATTGTTCCTTTCAACCCTCGTATGTCTGAAAAAGTCTATATTTATCATTTACATTTTGATAGAAAAATAATTGGATGTCTTAAGACACTCAAGAATGTCTTAAACAAATTAGATTCTTCTTTTCATATCACTAGAAAGTAGGTGGCTGTTTGTACTGGTTCAGGAACTCAAGATATTAGCAATTGAGTCTCTGTG